ACAAAGCTACAGTAATTAAAACAATATGGTACTTGGCATAAGGGAAGATGTATAGATCAATGGAATCATCCAGAAATAAATGCTCATATATATAGTAAATCAATTTTTTAACATAGACACCAGGAGTATCCAATGGGGAAAAGGAGTCTTTTCAACATATAGTGCTGGAAAAACTGGGCATCCATACCCAAAAGAATAAAGTTGGACCCTTACCTACACCATATACAAACATTAACTCAAAATCAGTCAAATACTAAGCTTAAGAGCTAAAACTATACATTTCATGGAAAAAATTGAAAGAAATCTTAATGATATTGGATTTGGCAGTAATTTCATGGCTGTGATAACAAAAGCACAGGAAACAACAAAATAATAGATTAATTATACTTCATAAAAATCAAAAACTTTTGTGCATCAAAAGGTAAAGAAAGTGCAAAGACAACCTACAGAACAGGAGAAAATATTTGCAAATCATATATCTACTAAGGGACTAAGATCCAGAATATATAAAGAACTCTGCAATTCAACAGCAAAAAACAAACACACAATTAAGAAACAGGGAAACTGTAATAGACATTTCTCCAAAGAAGATGTATAAATGGATGTTCAGCATCACTAATCATTAGGTAAATGCAAATCAAAAGCATGAGATACCCTTCAACACCCATTAAGATGGCCACTATATAAAGCCAGGTGTGGTGGCTCATACCTGTAATCCCAGCGTTTTGGAAGGCCAAGGAGGAAGGATGGTAAAGGCAGAAATTCAATATCAGTCCTGACAACATAGCAAGACTTTGTTTCTACATAAATAAAAATGAAAAAATTAGCTGAGTGTGGTGGCACATGCCTTTAGTCCCAGCTACTTAGGAGACTAAGACAGGAGGATCACTTGAGCCCAGGAGTTTACGGCTGCAGTGAGCTATGATCTTGTGCCACTGTACTCTAGCCTAGGTGACTGAGTCTTTGTATAGAAAAGGAAGGAAAGCAAAGGGAAGGGAAGGGAGGGGAAGGGAAGGGGAGGGGAGGGGAAGGGGAGGGAAGGGAGGGGAGTGGAGGGGAGAGGAGGGGAAGGGGAGGGGAGGGGAGAGGAGGGGAAGGGGAGGGGAGGGGGGGGAAGGGGAGGGGAGGGGAAGGGAAAAGGGAAGGGGAAAAAGGGAAGGGGAAAAAGGGAAGGGAGGAAAGGAGGAAGGGAAGGGAGAAAAGGAGGAAGGAAGGAAGGAAGGGAGGGAAGGAAAAGAAAAGAGAAAAGAAAAGACGGGCATGAGAAAAAAAGTATCCAGCAATCTCATTACTGGTTATATATTCAAAGGAAGTGAAAACAGCTGGAGAGACATCTGTTCTCCCGTATTTATTGCAGTATTAGTCACAAGAGCCAAGATAAGGAATCAACCTAAATGCCTATCTACAGATAAAGGAATAAAATATATTATATATACACACACACACACACACACACACACACACACACATATAATATATAAACTATGCACATATTGTATATAATATATACACACACATATGCAAACAATAGAATACTATTCAGCCATAAAACAGAATGTAATTCTGTCATTTGTGGCAACATGGATTAACCTGGAGGACATCATATTAAGTGAAATAAGACAAATACTGCATGATCTCACTTAGATTTGGAATCTAAGAAAGTGGATCTAACAGAAGTAAAGACTAGAATAGTGGCTGGGGAAAGTAGGGAGGATTGGAGGACCAGAAAATATTGGAAAATGGGTATAAAATTATATAGAGAAAGAGTAAGTTCTGACTTATTATAGACAGTAAGAATAAGTTCTATACACAGTAGCATGACTATAGCAATAACAATGTAGTGTGTATATCAAGATGACCACAAGAGAAAATCTTGAATGTTGTCACTACAAAGAAATGATAAATGTTTACAAAGTGATGAATGTGGTAATTTCCATGATTTGTCATTAGACAATGTATACATGCATTGAAACATCACACTGTACCCCATAAATATGTACTGTTAGCATGTGTCAACTATAAATTAGAAAGTAAAAAACAAAGGGAAAATAATTACTTCCCCTTTTTCCCTGTTGGTTGGTATTGATGGAGATGAGGAGAAATTGGAACCCTTGTACACAGCTGATTGAGATGTAAGATGGTACAACCAATGTGAAAAACCATTTGGCATTTTCTTAAAAGGTTAAACATAGAACTTCCATATGGCCCAGCAATTTTGCTCTTATGTACATATCCAAAAGAACTGAAAGCAGGGACTGGAGCAAATATTTTTACACCAAAGTTTATAACAGCATTATTCACAATAGGCAAAAGGCAGAAATATCTGTGTCTATCAACAAATTAATGGCTAAACAAAATGGGGTATATAAAATGGAATTTTATTTAGCCATAAAAGGAATGAAATTTTGATATATGCTACAACATAGATTAATCCTGAAAATATTATGCTTACTCAAATAAGTCAGTGAGAGAAGGACAAATTTTGTAAGAGTCCACTTATATGAGGTTTCTAGGAGAGGCAAATTCATAATATAGAAAGCAGGATAGAGGATACCAAGGGCTACAGGGATGGGAATCAGGGGAGTGATTATTTTGTGGTACAGAGTTTGTGTTGGGGATGATGAAAAAGTTTTGGGCATAGATAGTGGTGAGGGTTACACAACATTATGAATGTATTCAATGACTTGAGTTACACAACATTATGAATGTATTCAATGACTTAAATTGTATATTTACAAATGGCTAAAATGGTAAACATTATGTTATATATATTTTATCACAATAAAAAAAGAATTACTCTAAAGGTATGGAAATTAAGACAATGTAGGATAAGTGGAACAATAGACATATTGGCCAGAGGGACAAAATAAGGTATCCTAAGAGACCTACAAATAAGTAACAAGTAAATTAATTTTCAACAAAAGTACCAAGGTGATGGAGGAAAGCATTGCATTTTCAACAAATGGTGTTAGAGCATCTGGATATCTTCCTGAGGGGGGATGTGCATTAACTTCTAACCTTACCCTACAACTGTACATGAAAGTTAAAATAGATCATACATCTAAATGCAAAAGCTAAAATTAAAAAACTTCTGCAGGAAAAGACAAGAAGAAAATCTTCATGACTTGGGGATAGGGAAAGCTTTGTTAAATAGAACAGAGAAACCATAACCTTAAAAAATGATAAATGGAACTTCATCAATTTTTTTTGAAAGAAACTATTAAGAAAATGAAAAGGCAAGTCACAGAGTGAAGCAAATATTAGTAAGGGACTTGTATTAAGAATTAATTAGGTTGCTATAAGGTGAATAAGAGGAAGATAATCCAATAAAATTCAGCTAAATATTTGAACAGACATCTCAAAAGAAGATACACAAATGGATAATAAACATATAGCAAGAGTGTCATCATTAGTCATTAAGGAAATGTAAATTAAAACTACAATGAGATGCCAATACATAATGATGATATGGAGTGATTGTACCTCTCACACATTGTTGATGAGAATGAAAAGCAATACAGCCACTTTGACGAACTCTGGTATTTTCTTGTAAATATGTGGTTACCATACAATCTAGCAGTCAAATCCTAGATGAAACACTCCAGGAGAAATGAAAATGTGTCCACATAAACATGTGAATTCAAATATTCTTAGTAACTTATTGATAATAGTTCAGAACTTTAAACAATCTAAATACTCATCAAAAGGTACATGGACCAGGTATGGTGACACACCCCTGTAATCCAAGAACTTTGGAAGGTCGAGGTAGGTGGATCACTTGAGCCAAGGAGTTTGAGACCAGCCTGGTCAAGATGGAAAAACCCTGTTTCTACAAAAAACACACAAAAGATTAGCTGGGCATGGTGGCATATGCTTGCAGTCCCAGCTATTAGGGAGGCCGAGGTGGAAGGGTTGCTTGAGTACAGGAGATAGAGGCTGCAGTGAGCCAAGACAGTGTCACTGCACTCCAGGCTGGGTGATACAGTGAGACCTTGACTCCAAAAAAAAAAGTAAATGAATAAACAAATTGTGGTGTGTCCATACATAAAAGGAGTGGATTCTTGATAGAGGCAACAGCATAGATGACTCTCAAAAACATGTTTCTGCGTGAAAGAAGCCGTAGAACCCATATACAGAGAGTACTTACTTATGATTCCATGAATATGAAACTTTGGAAAGTCAAAACTAATCTTGGTGATGAGAACATTGACTGAAAATGGGTTCCAGTGAAACTTTTGGGTTGATAGGAATGCACTATACCTTGACTGTGATGTAGTTAAACATAGGTACGTTTCGTTGTTTATAAATCATACTTCTACAAAGTTGATGTAAAAAAGAGAGAAATGAAAACTCCATGAATCACAAGGCTTGTACTGGTATTTTGGGACTTGGCAAGCAGGCTCTGGAGACATACTACAGGGGTCAGAATCCTGATGTTATATGATACTGGAGAGGTTATTTAGCCTCTTTGTGCCTTACTTCCTTTGTATGTAAAATAAAGTTGTTATAATAGTTTTGTTAAGATTAAGCTGATGCTCAGTGATTATAACAGTGACTGACATAGTCAGAATTCAGTAAATACAAACTGTAACAATTATTATAAATGTATGTAGTATCAGTATTAATGGTTTGTTTTTCCCCTACTTCTTTTCTAGTGGTAGAACTGTGTCACACATCTTATGATCCAAGAACACACACCCCATGTCACAGTAATTTGGGCTCCTATTAAGCCTGATATTACATATTTTTGGCAGGGATATAAGGAGCTATGTCTGAACAGAGATGACTGAGTATATAGCAGATAGGACAAGAAAGGAAAGCATAGTTGTTTCGAATGGTGGGGTGAGCGTCAGTCTTAAGATTGTCCCTTTCTGACCTTCCTGAAGTTAGATGTTCTAGTTCAGCATCTGAGCATGCTGCTCTTCCTGCTAATAAACCAAACATCATTGTGTGTGCAGTATCCCAACAGGAATCTGTTCTCTTAATAACATGGAACACACCTCATCTGACTGCATCCAGCACTTGCTTCTAAAGGATGCAATAGTCACAGAGATGCTGAGCTCTGCTATGCTGATGATCAGTAAGATTGACAAAATTCCCTGCAAATAATGAGAAGAAATAAATTACATTTGAAATGAAAGCTGTTATTTTAAATATATAAGCTGAGAGCACTTTAGACTCTATCGCCAAGTATGGGAAAACCGTATTTTAGATGGTTCTGTAGCCATCAGACATTGCCCAATTTTCATCTTATATCTTTCTGATAAGGCAGAGATAACAAACTCCAAAGTCCCTGGGAGCTGTGCAACCATCTTGAGAGAAAACTGAGAGTAAAAGTATTCTTAGGAGGCATCCATTACTCAGTTCCAGCCAATTGTTGTCATGTGGGAACATGGGTACCATGATGCCTATTTTGTTTGTTGTTCCCTAGATAAACTGGATATACATACTTTTTGAGTTGAAATTTTCCAGTTATGTGTTCACCTGTGTGAGCCAAATAGAACATATATGCAGGCTGAATGTAGCCCACAGATTGCCATTTTGCTCATTTTGCTTTAAGGTAATGTTTGGATTGAGAAGCAACGTGGTACCTTATGATGACTCAAGCTTAAAATATGAAGATGGAAAGATCTAGGTTAAAGTGATTTCAGGGTCACACTTAACCTTGAACAAATAACTGTGTGTTTGTGAATCTTGGTTTCCCTGCAATACACCCAGAATCTTATATATTCGATATTTGTTGGTAAAACTAAAATGTATGCAGACCCTACTCTATGCAATTTACTGACTTTTTCCATTGAGCAAGGTATACCTGGTCTTGGATTTTGTGGAACTTACATCACTGTAAGGGAGACAGACAATAACAAGCAATTAGATAATTACCTGCTTAACTAAATTGTGATAAATGCTGTGAAGAAGGACTGGGAGCTCTGTGCTACTATAATGGGGGATCTATGCAGATATGAGAGTAGAGCCATTGTCAGGGAGAACTTTCTTCAAGAAGTGGTACTTCAGTTGAGATTTAAGTATGAGGCTGAGTTAATTGTATAACTGGCCTGGGGACCATTCAAAGCAGTAAGACGCTGATCCTATGATCATCTTGGGGCAGTGGCTGCTTGACACATTAAGGGATTCTAGGAAGTGGCTGGAATGTGGAGTAAGCAGGATAAAGTCCTGGAATAATGTTGGAAAGCTGGGTAGGATAGGTGTTACAGAGTTTGGTAAGGCCCTTAAGATTTGCGACTTAATCATCACGTTTTACAGAAAGCCATTAAGTAATTGATCTGATTTACATTTTTAAGTGATTACTCTGGTCACAGTAGAGACAATAGATTGGTCTTCAGGACAAGGGTCAGCCCAAGAGATGTCTAAAGCCCACTGTTCTGGCTCCTTTAGCTTATGATGTTTGGGTTACAAGAACTTGTTAAGCTGTGTTAGTGAGAACTAGGAAGAAAGAGTTCATGGTTCTGTAGTCACATAACTAATCTTGCAAGACCTATCCATGGAGGACAGGAAATAGCAAAATCTCATATATCTGGAGATTTAACCCTTTCAGTATATACTATTTCTTCCTGATATATAACAACATAATGAACAACATTATGCTCCTGTCCATTTGGAAATGAGCAAGAATTATAAGGTTGTATCATGTTCTTGGCCAAGTTAGGAGAGGGTTTATTGCTGATGTTGTTTTCTGGTTTTCTTTAGTAACTGAGTCCAATTTTAGAATTTATCTCAGAAAACATGAGAGGATCCCTAGGATCATTTCACCAAGTGATTGTGAGGATTAAATAAAATCTTGTGTTCAGGAACTAATTTCTCATTTCTTTTACCAAGGAAGACCATTTTCCGTGATTCTAGTTTATTTCCCTTCTAACAGGTTCAAATATTCTTAAAATTATAGAAGCCAAGCATTCAAGATATAGCTGGTAGGAGTAAAATAAAACCCTAGGACTTGATTAGGAAACTAGAGGGAAAGGCCTATTGAAGTCACTGACATGGTTAAAAATAATGTCATTGATTACTTGCTAGAGAAATACTTTAAATCATACCAACAATTGCATTTCCCAGTCAAATGATCTCTCATCTGCTTTAATGAATAAAATGGCTTCAATTATGTGAAATAACATATGTCTTAAACTTCTTAAAATCCTTACTTTATTCAATGGCTTCTAAATACCTTCTCCTACTGTATTTTGATCTTAGTGCTATTGAAAAAAATGTTTAGATCATTTTGTTCATTAATGCTGAAAAGGTAAAATTTAATTCAATCCATGTCAATAATAATTGTATTAGCTAAACCTATTGACTATTTAACTGTGCAGGGTACTGTTTTAATTTAAGCAAGCTTCACAACAACCCATGGGGTAAGCGTTCTTATTGTGTTCATTTTCCACATGAGGAAAACCGAGGCTTAGAGAGAATACAATATTAGGCCAAGGTGACAAGTTTATGTGACAGGATTCAAGCCCAGAAAATATGACTCCTTAATGATTGCAACAATAATTCCACAATACCCTTGCCTATCATCAGTTCAAATGCTGACACAATTTCAGTTAATAAAATAAAAATCAATGAATCATTGTATCACCAACACAGTTCAGATAAGATTTTACAGATTCATTGTGCAAAATAAGATCACTTACAATGAAAAGAGTTCTACCTAAAACACATATTTCTTCAAGGGAAGGTGTCTGGCAGTATTTGTCTTGATGTCTGTAGCTGAGCATGGTGAAAGTAATCCCAGTTATCGCAACCAAGGAACTGATAATATTCATGGCCATGACAACTTGACCCTGAAAGGTAGTTAACAAATAATAAAATAAATAAAATCCAAACCAAAGCCAAAATACCTTGTAAGAAATTCTTAGTGCTTTTATGTTTCCAGATACTGCTTAGGGAAGAGTTGTTCCATCAGATCAGTATGATTGTAAGGCTTAATACACTAAATTCTGACTCATTAAAGTCAGAAGACACACCAAGTTTTAGAATGGGCCAATGATACTCTATGGCTAATGCTGTTTGGGCTGGAGTTTAAAGATACTCTAAATGAGTTCTTTCTTGAACTCAGTGTTTCAATAAAATAATTTCAGACTGACCCACCCAATTGCATTTATTCATTTCTATTTTTTGTGGGGGTATGGGTGGGTGGGGTATGTATATCAAAGTTCCTTTAATGGAAGGGAGTCATTTGATTTGTTCCTTCATACCCACTCCCAGGACTGATACTGCTCTCTCTCTTTTTTTTTTTTTTTTTTTTTATTTTTTTTTAAAGAAAGAAAAAAAAGCTTCACATTTCCATTCATCAGATATTTGTGGTATCTTTATTGATTGTGTTATGACTACGGTGGTGGAAAATGCAATGATGCATTTACAGAGCCAGTCCTTTCTGGAACAGTCTGTGGCTTTGTGTGGCAAACCTTGGAAGTGTACTTGTGACTTAATGTTTACCCCAATCCCAGGTTTTTATTGCAAGCAGGCACGTTGGCAGCAAATCCACAGGAACATATTGGTAGGCCATCTCTCTCTTGGTCTTTAGTTCCCTTGTTTTCTCAAGGCTCTATTTTGGCTCCTATAGGACATTTAATAGACTAAGATCTCTAGAGAATCAATCCTTCATGTGTATTGGGCTTTACAAAGAACGTACCCAGCCTAGTCTCTTCTGATTCTCATAAATTATGTGATATAGGAAAGACACTTCTTGTTATCCCATTTTACAGATAAATGGAATTCAGGAAGTGTCTGTGAGCAGTCACTTCCACATTTTGTGGAAGAGCTGTGATGAAAAGCCAGGTCTTCTGACGCCTGGTTCAGCATCCTGCCCCCATCATTTCTCCATCTGCAGAGCTCTCAGTGAGTCAGGAGTAGGTTTTCCTTACCAGTAATCTATTTATCAGCTCTGGAAGGAAGTCAATACAGAGAGAACAGCATTTGGGGCTTTATCTGCATTGTCTGCATAATTTCCTTAAGCAGGGATGGGAGCATTTATCCCCGACTCTCCCTCAGAATGTCTCTATTGCTTGTAACTATCCCTAAAGGAAATTAGCAGAAGGCCATAAGAACAGAGTTAAACTGGCTTTCAGAGAAGGCCCACATTCCCAGGACCTTAAACAAGATCAGAGTGGTTAGAAAGAAGTATGAACATTTAAGCATCATTATGCCTTTAATAAGTAATATCTTATTAAATCCTCAAAGTAACCCTTAGAAGTAGGTACTTTTCCCTTCAGGTTAACACAGAAATGAGTGGTAGCCTTGGTTCAATCCTAGAACAATCCAGTATCAATGCCCAGATTTTCTTCTTCTAGACCTTGGGCAGGTTCTAAAGAAAAGCTTCGGTTGGTATTGGAGACAGGTCTAGGATCGGGAAGAAGAATTACTGAGATCTTAGGATCGGTTTTGGTTAGAGCAAGGTTTCTCAACAATGGTACTGTAGACTTTTTTTGTCGGATAATTTTTGTGTGTGACAGAGACTGTCCTGTGCATTTTAGATGCTTAGAAATGTCCCTGGCCTCTACTCACTAGTTGCCAATAGCACCAGTTGTGATGACCAAAAATGGGATCTTCAGACATGGTCCAATATTTTCTGGATCCTGGGGCTTAGGGGCAGGGAATTCCTCCTAATAATGAGCATTGAATTAGAGGGGGGATGCCAAATGGTTTCCAATAAACAACTCTTTTAGTTTACTTGACCAGGGAAATGGGAACCAGTGTAAGAATGTCAGGCAAATAATGGCACTGGCAAACAGAAATGATCTGAACTGCAACCTGGATACATACAGATTTTCCTGAGAGGTAACTTTATTACTAAAGGCTTTATACATAAAGACGATATAAAGCAAATAGAATATTTCAAATTACATAAAGTCACAAAATGACTCACCTGAGTTTTTGATTTCTCTTCCACTGCTGTGAGGTACCCTGTAACCATAAACTGTTAAGAAGACAAGAGACGAAAGTTAACAGGTTATGTGCTTGACCACCTTGCAATAAAGTTTCCCTTGGATTCACAAACGATCTGTTTGCAAATCTCCAAGACCATCCAGTTTTTCCACCTGAGCATCAGGGAGTAGCGAGGGTCAGCATAGATAGGGTAGGTTGGAAGAAACATTGTGCTGGGTTTGCTCAGCACTGAACAAGCGCTCTCTGCCAGGGTCAACTGGGACAAGCAGGCCCTTCTAAGATCCGGAGGAGATGGCTCAGATGTTGGGTCCAGCTGGGGCTCCAAAAACAGATTTCCTAAGCTCTGGGCCTCGAAGAGAAGAGGAGGAATTGTGCCTGTTCTGAGCAGGTGAAGGGAGACTTTCTCAGGGAAGACCCCTCTAAAGGCTGATAATGGGGGCTGATATCTAGTATGGTTACAACAGTCACTCATTTCCCGTAAGTGTAGAGCCTAGTGCCACCTCAGGAAAAGGAGAACTCTGTCACTCCATGTGGAGCCCTTTCCTTTTTTAATGTTCTGAGATGGGCACCTCCTCTGTGGGAATTGGCGTTGGACCTTGGGAACATCTGGGTCTTATGGTCCAAGGATCTGCAGCTGACTTGCGGAGATCAGAAAGATACCTTTGATACCTCCCTCCGCTTGACTCCCCACACTGGACTGCCAAGTCCTATCAACTCTACCTCCAAGTCACTCAGGCTCTCCGTCTCTAGCTCCATTGCCACCAAGCTAGTTCAGGGAAACTCTTTCCTCTTTGGCATGATTGCAGCCTCCTCTCATTGGGTTCCTCTAGGATTGCTGTTATCATTGAATTTTCTCACTCAAAAAACACAATCATACTTCAACAAGTCTTCAAATGTCACTATCCTCTTTATAAATTTTCGGTGGATTTCCCACGCTTTCACACTGAAGTTCCATGTTCTTCACATGACTATAGGAGTTGGCATGACCTGGTTACAGTCTACCTTTATAGCCTCATTTTATGCCATTGTGATAGACTCATTGGTCTTCTTTTGGTTACTCTTTCCCACACCAAGCCCTTGACTCATGCTTTATCTTTGCCAGGGAATGCTCTCCTTCCACTTTGCCCTAGTGAGCCACTATGTGCAAAGCACTTCCCTGACCTCCGAGGTCAGGTGAGTCCTCTATGAAACCCTCACATGGCACCTGGAATTCTTCTCTTAGAGTACTTATTACAAGTGTAGGGACAAGTATTTGGGGTTACTTTTGACTATTTCATGTCTGGTCTCCCAGTTAAATGACAAACTGTCTAAATCTAAAAACAATTTACCACTTTGATCGAAGAGGGACTGTTTTCCAGTATTCTCGGTCTCAGCACCTAGGATGCTATTGAAGACATGGTATGTGCTGAGTAAATATCTTTAAAGTGAAAAGTAGAGTTTTCAAAAACAGCAGGCCAGAACTTCATTTTAATTCTCACATGCAGATTACACAGTCACACTGGGAAAATTCTGTTGTCATATGAGAAAGTGAGGGGTTGGTCTGTTTGATTTTCTGCAGCATGGCATATATAGTTTGAAAATCATATTGACTATTACATTATTTATATTGGGAAAATGAAAGCTCTGCTGGTTGTTTCTGAAATGCACATTATAGAAAAGGCATGAAGTATTTCTGATTATCAAAAGAAACTGGATTTTTTTTTTCGTTTTTACAAATTGCAATTTGTTAAGGCTCCAGAGTGAGAATTGGCACTTGGTTCTGGTCAGGGGCAGGGGTGTCAGTGGAACCCAAAGGAGCTGGGTCCAAATATGTTGGAGGGACCTCCTCCATCCCCCTAAGAAACTGGATTTTTAATGGTCAGTGATAGTGGTCGAATTTATTCATTATTTTATCTATTTATTCATTGATTGATTGATTGATTCATTCATTCATTCATGCATTCAATCACGCCTCAAGCGTGATTCTAGGTTTTCAGAATATAACAACTAAAACAGAGTGTGATATTGCTGTCTTCTCAGGAAGTGTATGTTAGGAGAAGCTCTAATGAGGCTGCCCTTGAATATTACGGCAAAAAATTAGGAATCCAGGCTATGGGGACTAGATAGAAAGAGCACTGACTAAGAATAATATTTATGGATACATCATTACCTGGATGAATGGCACTCATAAAATTGTCTCTGGGGCTAAGAAGGAGGATGAGTGGTAATAATCTTAAAATTCTCCTTAAGCTTTCAGCATCTGTGATTGCATAACACTAGCTAGATGTGTTTAAGTTATTCTCAACTTTTGAGCTCAGTTTGTTTCCTTATTTGCAAAGGAGAAAGTACGATATTTGCCCATGTAGTCTCCCACATTGGTAGTGAGAAGCAAATGTCTTACTATACACACAAGGGTTTTGGAAACTTTTAAGCACCCAAGAGTAGTTATTACAGTAATGATGGTAGTGCAATGACCGAATGGAGTTGCTTCTTTTGCCCTGAAGTGAACTGCCATTTTTGGTCTCCTGGAGGGTCATATTTATGGAATTCGTTACCCTAGGACATGAACCAGTCAAATCTGTCATTACAGCAATTTCTCAAATCAGTCCAGTTCAAATCTGTCATTACAGCAATTTCTCAAAAGCTTCTAAATGACAGTACTCACAATAAGTGCTCCCCAAAATGGATATCCTGAGAGGAGAACAAGGGGAAGTCTTTGAGAGAAATGGATGTAATTAAGTACAAATATTGTTCCAAGGCCCACAATGATTAGAGCAAGGAGGATCTGGGTAGCCTGTGAGGAGAGAAATGAGTACATGAGGTTACAAGTCTCTAACCCTCTTTGGGCCACCCCAGGTCCCTGAGGGTTTGCCTCCATGACACACTTTTCAATCTATCCAAATGCCTTCCTTCCACATTTGTCGATGCATTCTCGGATTAAGAGACTCAGTTCAATGTGTTTCCTTCCCCACTTTGCTTGCCTGGATCCTTCAGGTTCAAATCCTTCACTCTTATTCTTTATTATTTTCTATCTTCCCTGATGTTACCAAGTCATCTTGTATCAGACATATTTGAGTACATGTGTGACCATCCCCGGACTATAAGCTTCTTGAGCACAGGGACTACAAAGTATTCACCTTTATGTTTTTTCCCTTCTGTCTCCAGTATTCCATTATTATCCTAACAACCCTTACCCCCGCATTTTCCAGCACTCAGTATAGGCTTTTGGAATTGGGGCTCATCCCAGTTGTCTAAAAGTTTAAAATGTTTGCTGACTTATTGTGGAGAACCTGAGATGAGCTTGCATTTCACCTCCCCTTCATCCAAGGACCAAGCTAGGGATGAGAATGATCTGGTGGGCCTAGTCAGCTTGTAGGAGTCTACAGGGAAAAAACAGCAGCAGCGGCTCTTCTCAGGACAAAATTTCTCTGTCAGTCTAGGTTTTGTCCCCAGGCCACAACTCTGGGCCATGACACCCCAAGTAATGATTTTCGCTGTTGTACAAAGGATGGGGGTTGTGCATATAGCTCTCCCCTGGGTGCATTTATGATGAAAAACATTTTGTATGTCTTATCATTTGGTTCACGATGAAGCTTTCAATATGTTTTTTTAAGCACTCCCAATTCCTTTAAGAGCACAAAGTGGAAGTCAAACCTCTCCATTTATGGATTTTTACCTTCATGGGAGGTGCCACCATACTCTGAGTTCACTTCCTCAGTGAGATATTTCAAAAAGTTATACTAGTTTATTGCTTCCCCTCTGCTGGGATTCAAAGATCAGTACTAATTCCTCATGAAAGATGAAGGGGGAAAAGTAGAATTAACTCCCTCCCTGAAAATCACTGGACAGAGGTATCTCTGCAGACATACATGAATAAATAAACTTCTTTTCTCCCCTTTGGGAGGACCATTGATTGGAGAGGACTTACCCCCAACACTCTTGGCTCTCCTTTCAGAAAGTCCAGCAGAGAGCTATGAGGTCTGTAGGGAAATGCAGTCAATACGGTTTCGTTTGGTTGTATAGTGATGACATGAGTTGCCTTTGGGTCCTGGGATGTTGACTCCATGATTCAATGGCAGAGCTCTAGTAAAAGAAAGAGTGAGCGAACATTGCAGCCCAAATCATGGTCTCTACCTCACCACCAGAGTGACATGGAGCCCTTAGAAATGAGCCCTTAGTGATTACTCTACTTAGTAGTAGAACCACAGAATCATAGTTGAGTCACAAAGTTTTAGAATTCTAGAGCATGTCCAGCCCTCCATCTTCCTGGTGAAAAGTATCATATCCAGAAGACCTGCTCTCTTGTGAAATTGGTTGCAAACATATGGTAAACACAAAATAGATGGTATATACAAAACAAGTCCTTACACATATGTTCATAGTTATAAAGAAACTAAAAGTTATGGGATATCCCTATGTGATGGGAACTGTAGAAGGTGTTTTGTTTGTTCTGACATGCACTAACATTTATTCCTTTAATAGTTCTACAATGCTGAAAGTGAGGAACAACAAGTTTATGTCACCCAAAGACATACAGGACAGGGGAAGCGGCAAACTCAACTTCACCTGTCTGCAAAATCTGTGTTTTTTAAACTCAATCATGCTCTGCCCTCCTTCGAAAGGAGTTTCTCACCTTTACTTGATGAATTTTCCAACTTACTGTTAAACCATATTCCTTTGTAGTACAAAAATCAGCGGTTAACTTTGAATCTCTATTTTTTCCATCTTTATTGAGGTATATTTGACAAATAAAAATTATATATATTTAGGGGATACTACATGTTTTGATATACATATACACTCCAAAATGATTACCACAATCCAGCTCATTAACATATCCATCACCTCACATGGTTATCTTTTTTCTGTTTTTGTAGTAAGAACATTTAACAATTCTTTGCATTTTCAAATTTAAAAAATATCAGTAGTAAAGGTGCTATAGGACCAGATGTAGTTGCCACTTTATAATAGAGAATATTTTAGCTTTCAGAAAGATAAGTAAAACTAATTATAGTCAAATCATTCCTGATTTAAGCTACAGAAATACTAATTAAAATAACAAAACTGCCTTTAGGAATCTTGCTTTCCATATTGATCCTTTACATTCCTAAATTCATTATAATTTCAGCTATGAGATCATGAAGGTAAATTGTTTTATAAAACTAAAACCAATGTATACAAATAATAACTTGAGTATTTCCTGGTTTGCAGCAACCATGGATAGCAGGTGTCTCAAAATTAGGACTGACGTCATTTGGACTCAATAATTCTTTGTTGTAGAAAGTTATACATATATTTTAAACTCTGCTACTCTTCAAGTTTATTTAGGAAACCTCATATGCATAGAGAGTGCAAAGTTAAAATGCAGCCACACTGGAATTTCCATAATTGCCCAAGAAATTGAGTTCAATGCAGAGGCCAACACAGAACGTATTACACAAAGAACAGACAGAGATAATTGCAGCAATGACTGGGAAGAAAGAATATGCCTATGTGGTACAAAGTGCAGGGGAGATGATCTGAATTACAAAATTGTGCTATAGATCAAAATAGACTAATACCCAAGCAAGCAGACATTATTACATTATTCTTTTTAGCGTGAACATTTGGCTCCAAGCTAGAAGCAGAAAACATGCCACTCAGAGATGGATTATCTGTAACTTATTAAGAAGACTAAGATGTCTTCATTGACTCCTACCCTGAAATTATAGAAGAGAACATAGTTTATGTGCCAATGACTAAATATTATTTTTATTTTATTTATTTATTTAAAATAAATAAATCCAAGACTATATGTAGTCTATTTTTATTTATTTATTTTATTTATTTATTTTGAGCAATGTAGACTCATTCGTATCATTCGTATCACCCAACCTGGAGTGCGATGACACAGTCTTCGCTCACTGCAAACTCCACCTCCCAGGTTAAAGTGATTCTTCTGCCTCAGCCTCCTGAATAGGTAGATAGGTAGAACTACAGATGCATACCACAACGCCCAGCTAATTTTTTTTTTCCATTTTTGGAGGGATGGGGCTTCACCATGTTGGTCAGGCTGGTCTCGAACTCCTGACCTCAGGTGATCCACCCACTGGGGCCTCCCAAAGTGCTGGGATTACAGGCATGAGCCACTATGCCTAGCCAAGAAGGCTATTTTTAAACAATAAAATGAGCACCACTGGTTGGCAGCATGGGTTTGAAGAGATCTGGATTCACATAGTAAGATTTATGGGAGGCAGGGACATGCTTGCTATGTGTTCAGAGGTAATCCTGAGCACTTGAGAAACTCTTTGCTACCTTTCACTTAATGGCTCATGAAAAAGGGCCCAGTAGATCTGTTTTTCAGAGAGTGGCCAGGGAGAGTAGTTTAATTATTTATGGCCTTTAATTTGTAATTAAAGTATTCTTACAATCTCTAATATGAAATATTTAAGCAATATGAGTATGAAAATAATATAGGAACAGCATGCAGAGTCACATGACTTAGCAAGTTCACCCTAGCATGAGTGCACATTTTCTCTTCTTTGTATCGAAATATTTAAGCAATATGAGTATGAAAATAATATAGGAACAGCATGCAGAGTCACATGACTTAGCAAGTTCACCCTAGCATGAGTGCACATTTTCTCTTCTTTGTATCACCTTCTGTTCAGTTTACCGAAAGAAGTTTATAAAGTTTATGACCCTTTTTGGAAGACCTGCTAATAAAACTTTACTGACTTGGGCTTTGAGGAAATTTTTTTCAAGAGAAATTAAATGATGACTCATAGTAACAAACACAAAACAGAAGTTGTTTTTATTGAAAAAATTTATTTTGCAGTGTCTAAAATGGCGGAGATTTCAGGAAAGTCTAGTCACACTTGACCATGAATTCTGGGTTACTTTTCCTTTATCCTCTGAGGCCAAGAGTTACTTATATCCAAGACCTTGAAGAACTCTTTTTGTACTGTTGAATATGATCTTGTGACTGGGTCAAGAAGAATGAACGCTAGAAAATATGTAATTGGTTAGAGTTTTTAAACTTTGATTTTGGAGATTAAAAAACATACTCATAATACATTTTCCCCAAATGCTGTATAGTAGTAGTTCTTCCAACTTTGCCATAAATGTAATTGTAGCAATATTAGTTAAAAATAATGCCATTCTCCAGTCTGCTAATTATTTTACTATTTTTAAATAGGATCATAGTTAAATCATAATTCATCCAAATTCTATAAACATTTCTTTTTTTTTGCTGTAGCTTTTGGGGGAAATGAAAATATTTTAAAATTATAACATCAAGAGCTAAATGGATATAAGGAAGAGCACAGGAAAGCATAAACAGGACAGAGACATTCTAGTAAAGTCTCATCACATTAGCAAGGAAACTTAGCTAGGGAGACTCTCTCTGGAGGCAGGTGGCTGTGTTCATGGTAAAAGTGAGGGGAGACACGTTCTCATTCTCAGCCCGATAGTCTGTATCATTCATTTTCTATGTCTTCGTTCTTTCATGAGCAGTTTGGCTATGTGATTTCTAAAGCCAACTAGCTTCACATGAAGCAATTCTCTACCTGGTCAGCTTCCCAGTAGACATCAGCTGATCCCAGATGACCAGAGCGTTCTCAGGAAGGAGACCGTTTATTTAAACACATTTTTTAAATTACAAAAGTTACCTTCTACATGCACCTCATGAACAATAATTGATTCTTCTTTTTGCCACTTTTTTGGGCCTGGATTATTGTAGCCCGGACCTGGAACACAGCAAGTATGATGTGACATGTCAGCATACTCACCCCAGGGTTGTTGGAGTAGAGCTGTTTCCACCAAAAGACAGAACTGTACGCAGCTAATAAGAGCTCCAGCACAGTGAAGATGAGCATCACCACTAGGACACCCTGCAAATCAGGACATGAATCGTTGGTACCCAACACAAGCTAGCCCTTTTGCCTGACTGAGAGGAGACAGGGCAATAAGCCTCCAGCAATGCAGAGAAAAGGGGACAGGGGTAATTGCTTAATCCTCTTTTCTGCTTTCTCCTTCAGATTTCTTAATAGAAGAAGGGAAATTAGCAGCAACTGTATCATCTCAGAACTTTGGTATCCCACCTAATGACAGATGAGAGTAATCTGCCACTTATCTCTGGTTGCTTTCATTATTTTCTTTTTGACTATGGTGTTTTTATTGTCATGATGATATTTCTAGGTGTGTATTTGATTCTGTGTATCCTGCAGTGGTTTCAGTGCATTCCTTCAGTCTGAAATCTCCTGTTTTTATTAAATTCTAAAAAAATTTCTAGTTATTTACTTTTGCATATGTTCTCTCTTCCATAATCTCTTACTGGGACTCATATTAGATATGTGTTGAACCTCTCCACTTCCCTGTATCCATCATGCCTTTTAAGCTTTCATCCATCTTTTCAAAACACACATAATGTGTGGTGTTCTGTGTGATTTAATGAAATCTAAATTCCATTTTGCTCTTTGTTTCCTGGAATGTATTGAATCTGCTGTTTAACTGATCTGCTCAGTTTTTAATTTCAAAGACAGTTTTCATTTCTGATTGTATGATTTCATTTCTTTTCTCAAATGCACATATCTTTTTTTTAATGTCCTTTTTTTTTTCATTTTGATATCTATTTATTTATTTATTTTGACACAGGGTCTCATTCAGTCACCTAGGCTGGAGTGCAATGGTATGGCCTCGGCTCACTGCCACCTTCACCTCCCCAGTTCAAGCAATTCCCCTGCCTCAGCCACCCAAGTAGCTGGGTTTACAGGCACATACCACCACTCCCAACTAATTTTTGTATTTTTAGTAGAGATTGCATTTCACCATGTTGGCCAGGCTAGTCTCAAACTTCTGATCTCAGGTGATCTGCCTGCCTCAGCCTCCCAATGTGCTGTGATTACAGGTGTGAGTCACCATGCCTGGCCTGGTTTATATTACTTTTTAAACATTTTTAATGATTTAAAATGTATTTTCATAATAGCCTTATTCAAATAATCGTATTGTCCTCAGTTCTTGAGCTTCTAATTTTCATGTTTCTTCATTTGCTGCTGCTTCCCATGTTTTTTTTGTGTTCTTGTTATGCTTCTCATAATATTTTGGTTATTGGATAACTTCAGGGTGTAGATGGTGATAGTGGTAGGGTTCTTTGATAAGTAGGCATTGTATAAGTCGGGTTTATGACATCTCCTTAGATAGTAATTTTAGATTTGATTCTGCTAGAACCTTAGATCATGTATCTTGTAGCAGTTTTTAACTTTATCCCTTTATTTCAGGTTCTCCTAAGTAATTATGAATTTGGATGGCATGCTTGCACAAAGCTTAGTGAGCTGATGGAAGGTTTTCTTGAAATTCCTTGGGATGTTGGGCAGGATTTGCTTTATATTATTTTCACAAATTGAGAAAATATTCCGTCTCAGCTTTCAACATTTTTGCAGGGTACTCAATATGAGCTTTATAGTCCTGCTGAATGTCAAATCTTGTTATAGGTGTTAAAAGTGCTCAATCCTAGCATCTAACACCAATATTCCTATCCAGACTTCCCTGGTTTTTTGGCCTCAGCTCTTGTTTGATGATTTGGCTTTAGAATCCTTCTTAGCTTCTGGAACCTAAGACATATTTCTTCTTCGATTTGTTCTTCCTTCTGCCCTCCTTCCTTTCTTCTTCTAACCTTGGCTATCAATTTTTTAATTTTTAAAATTTGTTACTTTTGTCCAGGTAATTGCTGTGTTAATTAACAGAGTACACCTTTGGAATCTGCTTAGTCTGGCATGTTGCAACTTCTCTGATGTTGTAGGATGCTCTTTTAGACTCCAGTTGTCAGAGAATGGGAGGCAGTTTGAGGTAATAAAATTTGCTTTCAAATTAAACCCCCAATATGCCTCTCCCACCCCCATTTCTTTACCCAATATCTGTCCTGCACCAGGATTACACTATCTGCTGGGCTTCTTCCAGATGGGTCTCTGTGCTCTTCCACGTCCTCTAGCTCCTGAACCAAAGGGGTTGCTTTTGACAATCTTGGGGTCACATGGGCAGACCCACAGGAGTGCAAAAGCTTGCACACATTTTCTGAGATTTGCAAGATAGATGGATCCAAGGGAATGAGAGCTACTACCTTGGGCTCCCCATGCTCCTACTACAAGGATTCATAAAAGAAGAAGTCTTCTTCTTTTTTTGTTTTTCTGAGATAGAGTTTCATTCTTGTTCCTCAGGCTGGGATGCAATAGTGCTATCTCAGCTCACCGCAACCTCCACTTCCTAGGTTCAAGTGATTCTCCTGTCTCAGCCTCCCGAGTAGCTGGGATTATAGGCATGTGCCACCACGCTCGACTAATTTTGTATTTTTAGTAAAGACAGGGTTTCTCCATGTTGGTGAGGCTCGTCTCAAACTCCTGTCCTCAGGTGATCTGCCCGCCTCAACCTCCCAAAGTGCTGGGATTACAGGCGTGAGCCATGGCACCGGCCCACATCTTTCTTCTTAAAAGGCCATGGGTTTATGGTTTTAGCACCATGATCCTACATTTATAGGATGGAATAAGCAAGGCTTTTCATCATGAACAGGTAGTAATCATCAAGTCTGGGAGAAAGGTGCCAAGAAAATGCTGCCCAGAGAGGTTGACATTTTTTCTAGAAGTCAAATCCATGACAGGTTTTCTCCCTTCCCACTGCACTCTGTCAGCCCTGTTGGACCAAAGTACAATGTATTTGGGCTTAAGATTCATGTTCTATATCTAACATAATGTAGCATAGAGGCTTGCATTTGAAGATTAAATTAAACACTGTACAGCCTCTGCTAGTCCTCAATTCACTGATGATCAGAAGACAAGCATCTTTAAGGGGTAGGGCAGGCGTCCCCAAACTATGGCCCGCAGGCTGCATGCGGCCCCCTGAGGCCATTTATCCAGCCCCCCGCCGCACTTCAGGAAGGGGCACCTCTTTCATTGGTGGTCAGTGAGAGGAGCACAGTATGTGGTGGCCCTCCAACGGTCTGAGGGACAGTGAACTGGCCCCCTGTGTAAAAAGTTTGGGGACGCCTGGGGTAGGGGCATCCAACCCCTAGAAAAGAACCCAAAAGAGATAATCCCAGACTAAAATAAAATTTAAATGAAGAATATTTCTGCCTGAGATGAGTAGGGAGAAGCCTGTTCAACAGAGGTTGTACTTTAAAAGTTAAACTCATCGAGGTTGGAATGTTTGTGATAAGAAAAACATTCCAAGAGTGATAGTCTCCCTGTTGTCCTTGATTTCCTCTCTGACTTTGGTACACCCCCCTACACTATGCAGTCTGCAGACAGGCCTTTTCCAACCACAAGTGTTTGTTTATTTCTGTCTGTCTCCAGGCATTTGGCCCAACAGTACCAGAGACTGCCAGAAAAGCAGAGGTTATGCAGAGGGAAGACACCGAGATTTCACACGACAGGTTATTCAATCTGAAGCTACTCACTGTTAAACTGACATTGGTCAGGAGACAATCTCTGATTTCATATATTGGATAATAGTATTCCGAATAAGGCAGTGAAGATAGATACTCCTTTTCTGAGCCGCAATTTTGAGAGGCAGTCCTCAGGGCTACCACACTGTCAGCAAGGAGGAGGAGGCCCGCTCCTGCAGTAACGGAACTTACTGCATTTGAGGTCAGGCTGCTGAGGTCCTGGAAGAGAAACTCTGCATTGGGTTCTCATCACAGAATCAGCAATCAATGCTGTTAGCCCTCTGTCCATTGTACTGCAATGGTGCTTCCTTGGGTCTGTTTCCTTCCTGTTTCCTTGTGTGGACACAAACTGTGTTTTATTCATCTTTGTGTCCCTTGTCACCATTTAGTTAATCATATGATATAATTAGTAAATGCTTATAGTATAAGAAAATGCATGGATAATTCCCCCTTAGGGAGAAGGATTCTGGCCCCTTGACTCTCTGTAGCACTCAAGATAGAGACAGTGCTGCTGTGGTCACTGCCACCATCTCCTGTGACTTCCTTAGAATCATTCTGTTTCCTTAAAGGCTTCCAGAATACGGATTTTGGTTCCCTCTAGTAAACCGAATGTGTGAAGTTGATTTACATAAAAGAGCAGCTTCAAAAAAAGGTGGAAACAAACTGGAAAAGTTGGAAAACATATCTATAGTTCTATGGGAACATAAAATATACTTTCAATTGACAAGCAATATTTGTTCAAAATGACAAGCATATGCCTTCGATTTTCCCAAGTGACAGGGCATGAGACAGAGGCACATGGGATTAGACCCTGTGCTTCTCTCTCCAGCCATTCACAAACAGAAATATTATCCGACTGTAGCCACTTTTCCCACAAACCTTGGAGGGAGAAAGGGAGGAAGAAGCTATGAAGACTTTACTTCTCTCCATAGCAACCATTCTCTCTTCCCTGCCACACACCTACAGAGGTGATTTAAGGAAAAGCCATATCCTGATTCAAGAAGATACGAGGTCTGACTAGCCACAGATGAGGACACATGGATGGTGTATGAGGCTGGATGACGATTGAAGCTGCAGTCTAGAAACCAGGCGTAGGGAAGAGAGTTTTGAAGAGTTCACAGCATTCATTGGTTGGAGTAAGAGTTGTGGACTTAGAATCCGAAAACCTCTACTCTTATCCTAGCTCTGTCTCCGACTCATCTGTGTGCTTGAGCAAGTCCTTCTTACTCTCGGCTTCGGTTATCTCATTTATAAAATGTGGAAGATGAATCGTCTGATCTCAGAAGTGGCTTCCAAGATGCACTGAGTAGACAGAAAGGGAAATCTATGCTTGGACTCGACTCCATGTGTGGGACAGAGAACAACATGTGGGCTCCATTGCTCATATGGTAGCTTTCGGCAAAGATACTGCCCACTGGGACTAGGTTTTCTTTCATCTGCTAGAGACTCAGTGCATGAATTTATGTAGCTACAGAGCTGGAGTAGGAAAGGGCAAGACAACCATCCTCCCCAGCACACATTCTCTTCCAATGATGCTTAAACAGAGAAGAGCATGTGTGTCTTTGCTGATGCATCATCATGCTATGGGAGAATCCTTTCTCCCAAATTGTAGAAGAGGACTTGGGAAATGGTGTGGTGAATGTGGTTCTCTTAGGCCCGATCCACCTGTAGGTCGGTATTCTAGCTTCTCCAGTTTGCTTCTGTCTTTTCTCTGAAGCTGCTCCTTTAAGTAAGAAGCCATAAATCGGGTTTCTAAGGAGGAACCAAAGGTCATATTCTCGATGCACTTAGGGCAATATATAATTCTAAAGTGGTTGAGGAAGCCAAGGGGATGTTGGCAGTGGCGTGAGAGGTCTTGTCTTTGTGTTTGGTGCTGCAATCAGTGCTGACATTACAGAAATTCCCCTCATGCCCACTCCATCACCCACATTCTCTGCCACCTTACTTTGAAGTGATATTTACATCCAATTATCAATAATTGGTTTTTGGTTGGAAATAGTCTCCTCCAGCCTAGAAAAAGATGACAACACCCTCTTCTAACAGAGGAATGAATGCCTCCCTACCTGATATTTGACTGGATGAGGTTTATTTCAGTTGCTTAAGTAGTAGAAATTTGAAAATATATCATGGACTTCTTTCAACTTGTTACCATGGCCATTGAGTAGGGTAAACCAGCTATGCTGGTTTGCCTGGGGCATAAGGGGTTTCCCAGGATATAGGCTATGTGATCTAGGAGGCAAGAAATTTGGGCTCTACTCTTGGTTCTACCAATGGAACAGCCAGGAGAACCTGGGCTCCCCTATTATAAGCTTTGTCTCCCTAAACTGTAAAATAGGAATTTTGAACGAAAAGAATTAACTCCGACATTCCTTCGATTCCAGCCAGCTGAGATTTGATGGTCCTTCTACTTACAAAGGGTTTAGTTGACTGCTTTCCAGAGATAATCGAGAGGGACCCAGTAACGCCAAACTGCTCAGAAAAGAGAGAAAGGATCAGTTCAATCATCTTGTGGAAATGTGCCCACCATATCACTATCAATCACTCGATCAAAAAGTGCTATAAGAAAATTTTTAGAGAGAGAACACTACAGAAATCGTGTGGGTCCACATTTTTAGAAAGGCCTAGTTCCCACCTGATGTAAGAATGTCTATATCAACTTCTAATGACATGCAGATACTCAGAGGGGTTGGATTTGTTTTAGTGGGAATCACTAGGAACTGAGGAGGCCTGGAGAAAAGGTGCACATGGGAATGAGAAGAGTGCTACTACGTTACAGGGTTGAAGGAGAGGAGGTTGAGATGGACCAGTGACTCAGGTGGATAGAGAGATGGGAACAACCCACAGAAGCATTCAGGAAAGAGACTCTGATGGGACGAGATATGGAAACACACAGACTGGAAGTTATTGGTGTATGTTGCTTGAGTCAGAATGGGAGTTGAGGAAAGTGGGAAGAATAGGCCCTGACGTGAAGTCTTTATCATAAAGCCCCAAAAGTCCGTATTTAATCCCAGTGGTATTAAAGATCCAGTTGGCAGAGGAAAGGTATTCTAAGAAGCTGAAAAGTTTCTTGACTGTGTGGCCTGGATATTGAATAGTCACAGGCAAAGAGGGTCCAGTACGAGCTAACACTACCTTCTCTAAGGAGATGTGGGCCCCACTGGTTATAGGGAGAAGTCAAGGGCAAGTTTTGATCTGGGGCGGGAGCAGGGCCTCCTTACATGACTGCACAGTTTGCGTTCACACAGGAACTATATCCACAGGGAAGTGGTACCTTAGTATATGTCATCTGCCCAGGATGTTTGCTTTTTCTCCTTTGTATAAAATACTATGTGGAGAAGAAATAACCCTTTGCGGGAAGTGTAAGTTTGCCGTGGCCACTCTCTGCAAAACAGATCTACTAGGCCCTTTTTCATGAGCCATTAGGTGGAAGGCAGCAAAGGGAGTTTCTGAAGTGCTCAGGATTACCTCTGAACACATAGCAAGCATGTTCCTGCTTCCCATAAATCTTACCTTTGTGAATCCAAAGCTCTGCAAACCTGTGGCATCAACCAGTGGTGCTCAATTTATTGTTTAAAAATGGCCTTTTCACTCTCTACCTGAAAAGTTAATTATTCTCACAATGGAGGGAATCCAATGGCCTCATCAAAGCCCCAAAGAGGGATATGAAAAAGCATCCATTTTTCCAGAGGTGTGCTGTAATGCCAAGTAAAAAATGCCGTGCTGGTATACCCATTGTGTTACCATTCCTCTTGTCCCCTGCCCTGCGGGAAGACAGACTAAGCCTGTCTGCTGCCCTTCTTGAATAGGGGAAACATGGAGTGGGGCAATGATAGAAGGAAAGTTGAGGCCTTGCCTTCTTTTGCCTCCTGGCCTCTTGGAGTCTGAGTCACTCATGACTATGCACCTGGTTAGCATTTATAAAGCATTAGAGACCCCGTTCTACTCACACACAGAGCTCCTAAAAATGGGTACCCAGACATCAAAGTGGTGGAAATTGCTGAATTGAAGTGGGAAGGGTAGGGAGCAAAAACCAAGATGACCCCCAAACTTGATATCATCAGGCAACACAGGATCTGGACAATCTACAAGAGAAAAGACAGGAAATCTAGAATACACTTCAAACAGATGAAAGTGATTATTTAAATGCACATTGTGAAGTATAAAAAGTATTAAAATACATTATAATTTGTTACATTAAAGAGGAAAAAGTGTTACAAGGAGCCAATAGAAATGTTTCTAGAGGAAGTCATACATAGCTAATCTCTTCTGATAGGATTATTAAAATAGCAAATCGGGAAGTGATAATGTGCACATTTTGACTTTGTTTGAAAAAGATACTTGACAGTTTTAAAATGTATTTCCTTGAAAAGTAGATTTAAAAAGTTGTCCAGTGAGGTGCAAATAGCCAACTTCTCACAGGAGTGTTAATGAAACACTTTTTCAGTTGAAATCAGACAGAGCAGGTCATCTCTTCTGCTGTAATTCATCTTATTTTGTTCATCATTGGATTTTAATAATTATTATTTTACAAGTGGAAGAACTGGAGTTTTAGCTGTTAGCTTGGTCCAAAGCCCATGCTTTTGTTCATAGTTTAATGCATGTGCAGTTGAAAGATGATGCAAACATAGGAAAAATAAAAAAGTCAACCATTCATAGCATCAGTAGTTATTGAATACCTGTTGTGTGCCAGGCTCCAGGGAATGAAGCAAATGAAAATTGCTACCATTGGAGAGCTTATATGTACTGAGTCCTTTACATACAATTTCCATGGGAGGTAGAATAGAATTAAGAGCAAAGTAGTAGGACATGAGGCCTGTGAAGTACGGAAGGCATGGGGCAAACTATGTAGGGACTTTTAGGCTCTGTTTTACCAACTTTACTTTTCATTTTGAGCAAAAAAAGGAATCCCACTGGATAATTTGGGGCCCGAAGAATGTATGTTCTAACTTTTATTTTTAAAAGTTCACCAGCTGTACGAAGAATAGTGAAGAAACAGGGAAGGTAGATCCATCTAAAACTGGGAGTGAACAGGAGTTGGGTATTATAAAAGGGTATTCAAAACCATGTGCAGATTAAAGTTCTGGATTTGAGGGATGATGATCTGGGATACTTGGAAGTCTTATAGTTACTCATGTGGACAGGGAGAAAACAGGTCATGAGATTAGTCTTCATTGTCTCATCTCAAAATATTTGAAAAATGAGCTCAAAGTTAAGAATATCTAATTTAATCATACTGAGTAAAATCCATATGGTTAAATAGACCATCTTTACTAAAAACAAAATAAAAAAGGCTAATTTGTTCATTGTGAAGCCTGCTAGTGGAAAAGATAGAGCGATTTTAGTTCGTAGAAACTGCTGCAGAGGATATAGTCTTCCCTTAAAGCTCCATTTTATGTTCCCATTAGCCTGGAATCAGCCAGAAAAGAGTGAAAGAGCTTCCCAGACCCACTGTAGATCTGTAGTCTAGATATATTTACAAAGTATTTTCTCAATGGTCCCCTTATAATGAGATGGACTTACCCCGAGAACGGTGGCTTCTTTTGGCAGCCCACTCTGCAGGTAATCTTTTTGGTACATGTGTTCAGGTTTCTCTCTTTCAGGGATAGTGATGCCCTTTGGTGTAAAGATGTCAAAAGCCCTCATGGTTTGGGATTGTAATAGCATGATGCTGATGATGCTGGAAAGGCATCAAACTAAGTTACTTTCCAAGGTTTGACTTATAGTCATAAGCTTCCCAGGGACCATACATTGTAGGAACTTGGGTTTTTTGCCATTACTCAAAGGCCAGCTGTTCTTTAGAAACAAAACAAAACATGAGGATTGATGGAGCATTATAAAGTGAATATTCTGGGCACAGTTCATCCATTGTGGTTAAGAGGCATGTCACTGGGAAAGAACTGCACACAATTGAGAGGTGAGCACATCACATAGAACTTGCTTTGCAGCCTTGAATGTGTCCATCTCACTCTCCTTCCAATGACCCCTGCTTCCATCTTCTTTTCCCTATCTCCCATGTCTCTGCTTCACCTGTGTTACCTTCCCATACCACATCTTCCAGAATGACACTTTTATTCTACACTTGCACTGATCAATCTTCTACTCCAGTCTTTATTTTATCTTCATAAAAATGTTGGGGGTGAGCTGGGCGCAATAGCTCCCACCTGTAATCCCAGCACTTTGGGAGGCCGAGGCAGGTGGATCACCTGAGGTCAGGAGTTTGAGACCAACCTGACCAACATGGAGAAACTTTGTCTCTGCTAAAAATCCAAAATTAGCCAGGTGTGGTGGTGCATGCCTGTAATCCCAGCTACTTGGGAGAATGAGGCTGGATAATCACTTGAACCCGGGAGGCAGAGGTTGCGGTGAGCTGAGATCATGCCACCTGCACTCCAGCCTGGTGCCTGGTGACAGAGCAAGGCTCTGTCTCAAAAAAAAAAAAGTCTCAAAAAACAAACAAACAAAAAATATTGGGGATGTGGGGATGAATGCTGTTCCACTTTCCTTTCCTGTAGCAAGATGGCCTGTCCCATCCCAAATCTTCCTCCTTGCTTACATTGGCTTAGTAATTAGTAACGTAAACATTTATTTAACTCCTGCTGACTTCCAGGAATAAGACTATTGCAATTCTAATCCTTATAACAACCCTGTCACTTACATGTCATTAAATCAATTTTATACATTAGAAACCTAGGGCTGAAAAGTTCAAGTGATTTTCATGGAATAAAATAGTCACATAAAGCACTCAGCCTGGCACATAGAATGTGTTCAATATGTGATAGCAAATATTAACAGCCTATGTTTACATGACTGGATTGAGATTTATCTGGCTCAGGGGCTTGTGATATTTTTCTCTATGCCATGTCAATTCTCCTCATCTTCCTCTTGCTTCCTGTCTTCCTCCCTCACATTTCCAGTTCCCTTGCAGATTCCAGGAACAAGCCGTCGGCCACTGCCAACTCAGCAGTATTGCTGGGCCTCTGTGGTGTCAGCAGCAGGGCTCAGCCCCTGAAATGTTGCCCAGATTTGTTTTCAGCTCAGCACTCTCCCTACTGAAGGCCAGAGTTTAGTTAAAGGCTTGTTATCCTTGAAAGGTGCCACAGCTCTGCAGCCTGATGTTTTGCCTCAGCGTCTAGTTGCACATCTGAGCATGTGAGTTGGAGTCGAATCCTGTGTTCAGCTCCCACATCCACCAATGAATGCTAAACTCATCCTGGGCAAGGTATTTCACCACTTCATAGATTTGTGGCATGGGTTAGATAAGACAGCACATATGATGGGCTCAACATAGAGTGAGGAATGTGATAAACTCACAAAACATATCAGTTACATCCAATACTCATGGGAAACCCAGTTCTGATATTGATGAGCTGGCCGTGGATATGATATTTCCCTTTATTCATCCTCAGTTTCCTTATCTGTAAAATAGGGATAATGACACTATCCTGAAGGTCTCTTGTGAGGATTTGAATGACATATGTGAGTGCCTTTTGTTGTAACTCTCTGAGTTTTATCAGGTGTTCCATAATAGTCAATGTTGGGACCTCTATTTTATTTCTCCTCCTAGATCTGTGCCTTAGTTTCTCATGCTCTCTGGGCACCAAGTAGCTTATCTGAAGAATTATTAAACCTAAATTTTCATTTCTTGGAATTTGGAAATCTGGGTGGAAGTATGGGTGAGGTTACATGTCCTATAAAAGGAATAATGTTGATCCTAAATCCCTGCAGTGGAGCCAGGGTGAGCCTTCCAAATAGTATATTTAAATAAATGGATGTCTCTAGATTCATTTAACTGGCACATCTTTAAAGCCCAAAAAACAGAAAAAGTTTCAATCTTAGAAAGATTCTAGGTTTCAGAATCAAACTGTAGTTCTGATAAAATTATAATCATTGCTAACATTGATTGAGCACGAACTATGGATGTGGAAAATGATCATCACTGCTAACATTGATTGGGCATGAACTACACGTGTGACATTCTATTAAGAGCGTTGTGATGTTCTCATTTATTCTGCACAGCGACTCTCAGAGATGGGTGCTGTTGTTACTTGAATCCTGAAGATCAGAAAAATGAGGCTTGGAGCAGTGAAATAGCTTGCATAAGATTGCTTACCTAGCAGGTAGTGGAGGCAAGATTTGGGCATGGGCCATCTAACACCAGAGTTCTTCTGTATCCCTGTAAGTCTGTGCTTGCCCAGCTAGCTACACCTGATTCTCATCCTCCCTGTTCTTCCTCCCTGACTGTTGAAGCATTGACTGCCGCTCATCAGTTCCATATCCTCCCCCAGGAATGTTGCTAATCTTAGGAAATAGAGGTTGAAGATTTCTATTTCCCGAATTGTTTTCATAGTGCAGAAACTTGGCTTCTACCTTGCCCCTTGTGGTTCAGTAGCCCAAATATGCCAACTAGACTCCTTCCTCTAGTCTTTGTGACCAGCCTCTTTAGCTCTGGGTCCCTTTCTTTATTTTTTAGATCTCATAATTTTTAGATCAAGCAGAAAATGCTTGATTCTCAGCTCGAAGCTCAGACGTTAAAGTTTAATTGGTACTTTCAGACTATAGCCTATCTATCTGATACCATGAACGTTTATTTTCCTTTGTTATTTCTTTCTTTCTTCCTTTCGTTTTTTTTTTTGAGACAGAGTCTTGCTTTGTCACCAACGCTGGAATGCAGTGGCTCGATCTCAGCTCACTGCAACCTCCACATCCCAGTTCAAGCGATTCTCCTGCCTCAGCCTCCCGAGTAGCTGGGACCACAGGCACATGCCATCACACCTGGCTAATTTTTGTATTTTTAGTACTGACAGCATTTCACCATGTTGATCAGACTGGTCTCAAACTCCTGATCTCATGATCTGCCTGCCTTGGCCTCCCAAAGTGCTGGGATTACAGGTGTGATCCTTTGTTATTTCTTAACTGTTTGTTCTGTTTGAAAGAGTGCATAAACCATTCAGGACCTAGGCATAGGCAAGGACTTCATGCCTAAAACACCAAAAGCATTGGCAGCAAAAGCCAAAATAGACAAATGGGATCTAATTAAACTCCAGAGCTTCTATACAGCAAAAGAAACAATCATTAGAGTGAACCAGCAATCAACAGAATAGGAAAAATTTTTTGCAATCTACCCATCTGACAAAGGGCTAATATTCAGAAACTACAAAGAACAAAAACAGATTTACAAGAAAAAAAACCATTCAAAAGTGGGCAAAGGATATGAGCAGACACTTTTCAAAAGAGGACATATATGAGGCCAACAAACATATGAAAAAATGCTCATCATCACTGGTCATTAGAGAAATGCAAATCAAAACCACATTGAGATACCATCTCATGCCCATTAGAATGGTGATCATTAAAGAATCAGGAGACAACAGATGCTGGAGAGAATGTGGAGAAATAGGAACACTTTTACACTGTTGGTGGGAGTGGAAGTTAGTTCAACCATTATGGAAGACAGTATGGCGATTCCTCAAGGACCTAGAAATAGAAATTCCATTTGACCCAGCAATCCCATTACTGGGTATATACCCAGAGGATTATAAATAATTCTGTTATAAAGACACATGTACATGTATGTTCATTGTGGCACTGTTTACGACAGCAAAGACCTGGAACCAACCCAAATGCCCATCAGCGATAGACTGGATGAGGAAAATGTGGCGCATATACACCATGGAATACTATGCAGCCATAAAAATGATCAGTTCATGTCCTTTGTTGGGACATGGATGAATCTGGAAACCATCATTCTCAGCAAACTGACATAAGAACAGAAAATCAAACACCACATGTTATCACTCATAGGCAGGTGTTGAACAATGAGAACACATGGACACAGGGAGGCGAGCATCACACACTGGGGTCTGTTGGGAGCAGTGGGGAGGGACAGCAGGGCGTAGGGAGGTTGGGAAGGGATAACATGGGGAGAAATGCCAAATATAGGTGACGAGGGGATGGAGGCAGCAAATCACCTTGCCGTGTATGTACCTGTGCAACAACTCTGCAATATCTGCACCTATACCCCAGAACCTAAAGTACAACAAAAATAAAAAAAGAGTGCATAAAATACTACCATTACAAGGGAATAAAATTCGAAGAAGAAAACAGATAAGCTCCTTAACTTTCAACTGCCACCTGATTATTTGTTTCATACGCACACATTCTTTACATTCTCTCTTCCCCTCTGTCACTTTGTCTCTCTCCTCTTTATATATATTCACAGACATTCATAACTCTGCAGAGTCATTCTACCCATGCCATCTATAACTGTTCTTTTTGCACTTAACATTACTCTGCAGACATCTTTGACTAAGAAATAGAAATAATAAAAGTTCTACATTTAAAAGCAAATGATAAATTCTGATACATGCCACAACATGGATGAGCCTTGAAGACAACATGGCAAGTGAAATATTCCAGTCACAAAAGGACAAAGATTGCATGATTCTACTTACTTGAGGCACCTACAATAGTCAAATGCACAGAAAGTAGAATGGTGGTGACCAGGGGCTGCAGAGAGAGGGGAATGGAAAGCTATTGTTTAATGGCCATGGAGTTCCAGTCTGGAAAGACAAGAAAGTTCTGGAGTTGGGTGGTGGGGATGGTTGCACAATGGTGTGAATGTACTTAATGCCACCGAATGGTACACTTGAAAATGGTTAAAAGGTTACAATTATTTTAAGTATATTTTACTACAATAGAAAAGCCAAAGTGTATATTTACATAAATGGATATCTCTAGATTCATTTAACCAATCACATATTCATGACTATTTAGGTGATTTCTATTTTTTCTTTTTGCCACTATGAACAATGCCATAATGAACATCTTTGCACTTTTGTGATGCCTCCTGCATTTAATTATCTCAGAGTGACATATGGAAGTGCATGCATTACATTTAAAGCTATGATACTTAAATTTTGACATACGTTACTACTTTTGGGAGGATCCTATATTACCAAGATTCTTTATATTTCACAAGAGTCTCCAGGCTGATGCTACGATCTCCAAACACCACAGGCTGAGAGGATGCTTTGTCCTTCCACATTTGCTTTGTGGAGATAGACAGGCAGGACCCACAACTTCCAAGATGGCTCTAAAATCCTTGCTTTGAAGATAAATCACGGCATGGAGTTCATCAGCTCTGCCCAGCAATTTTCTGTATTACAGAATTAGAGTAGGACAGTGGGGTTCTAGTGCAGGATTCAGTCTAATTGCACAGTATTTGTTGAGAGTATACTCAATGTAAGACTAAGTGACACACCAGGAGAACGCAGAACATTGCAGAAAATGACCTCAAATCTTGAGGGAAACCTAAGAATGGTTACCTAACTTTCTTATTTGGCACGTGAATAAACCAAGACCAAGTTGATGCTCCAACTCACTCAGGTTGTCAGATTTAGAGACAGGATGAGAACCCAATTCCCTGGCTGTCTTTTCAGAAGCACATAATCTCCCCCAAAAGTCATGATCTAAACCAAGGTGCCTACCTGTTCTCACAGCCTGCTCCCTTGTGCTGTGGCTGGTGGGTCAGCTCACCTCTGTGGAGTGCTCGCTCAGCTGGATCCTCCCACTGGCTGTTCCTGCCAGACAGATCTGGCTGCTCTGCTCTCCTGCCTCTGAGACTTCCTGTCCCTTTCTCAGAGCGTTATTTATGATTACACAGGATATGAATTTTGCTGTAGTTACAGACAGTTGCTATATAAAAAGTGCCTCTGCTTCCTCTTTCTAAATTCTGAGGTTTGGAAAAATGACGCAGGATAGAAGCGACACATGAGAAAAAGAACCATGTGCAGACTAGTGATTTGTACAGTCCCAGTTAGAATTAATTTTCCCTACTTCTACGTAGAGTTATGTAAGTCATCTAGTTTTGCTTAGCCTGAGTTTCTTGTCTACTAAATGGGGGATGGATAATAATAATTCCACTTTGTGGCTGTTGGGAGAATTAAAGAAAAAATATGTAAACAGTTTACAAAAAGTAGACACTCAATAAATATTGATAATAGTAATGTTAAGTTTGAATTTTGGAGAATTTATTTATTCTCTCACTTTCCAGGCTTTTGGTAAACTGAAAGCAACCTATGGAAAATTCAGTGCCTCCTTGTTACTTCTTTTGGGTGTCTTCGTTCTCCGTCTTTGGCCTCATGTTCAGGGAAGTCTAGGTACATCTTGGGAAAGATGCCAGTGTATTGGAGTCAGAGGCAGAACCATCAGGCTCCAAACAAGCTCATATTGGGAAGTATTTGTTGTTGAGGGGATACTGTTGCCACTTTCACATGCCTTTTAAGGCTTCTTGTAGAACAGCCACTGTGCAGAAGGGGAGGGTTTAAGACGGCCCTGGGATGTGCAGCAGCTGGTGACACATGGTCCATATATGTTGTCTCAATTTCCTGAAGGGTGGCAAGCTGTCTCCTAAGAGAGGAACAGACCTAAACCAGGGAGGTTTAAATAACTCATAAAGTACTTGGAGAGTATTTTAGTCTAGTCCTTTTATTCTCCAAATGAGGTGATACTGCTGAAGGAATCTGCAACTCATTGAGGTCTGGGCTTGCTTCACAGCAGCAGTCTGCCATTTGGTTGACATTTTTTTTTTTTTGAGATGGAGTTTCACTCTTGTTGCCCAGGCTGGAGTGCAATGGTGCAACCTTGGCTCACTGTAACCTCCACCTCCCAGGTTCAAGCAATTCTCCTGCCTCAGAGCCACAGGTAGGTAACTGCAGGTGCCCATCACTATGCCCAGCTAATTTTTCTATTTTTAGTATAGATGGGATTTTACCATGTTGGTCAGGCTGGTTGTGAATTCCTGACCTCAGATGATCCACCCACCTCAGCCTCTCAAAGTGCTGGGATTACAGGCGTGAGCCACCGTGTCCAGCTTGGTCAACATCTTAACCCCCACAACCAACATTGTCTTTGCTTAAGAAAGCTTCCACAGTCCAGACCTTCCTCTGGGTGTATGACCTGCTTTGACCAGACTGTCAAAGAACCTTAGTCATTTGAACTTCTCTCACACTTCTGAGCCTGAGAAGAAGATTGTGAGAAAATTGGTTAAATATCCAGTTCGTTTTCTCATAAATAAAATTTGAAAAAAGATTTTTCAGAGTTTTTGTGAGGATTAAGTCAAATAACATTAAAACGCCCGCCATAGAGCCTGGCAGGTATTAAGAATTGAGAAAATCTGCTGTTTCTTGTCCAACATCTTCTCCCATCCTCTTTAGAGAAAAGTGTATTTTTTCTCTGGTTTGATCCCTGACTTCTAAGTGTAATCTACATTTACTCTAAATTCATGCTCCTGCCCATTGATAGGAATCTCCTCAGCCCTTTGCAAACAGTCCTGGTGCTCTAGACAGGCAAGTGACTCACAGTGCTAGCCTACTTCAAGGGTACACTCTCCCCACAATCCCCAAGCAGATCATGAAGCTAGTCAAGTGGAAGTGCGTCTCATATCTCAGAGGACTCTGCCAGCCTTGGACAGAAGTAACTGTATGTTTTTCTCTAGCAGTGGAGATGGCTGGCTGGGGCTAGGGTACAAGGTCTGGTTGTCCAGAGAGAGATTCCTTGGAGCAGCATTACAGATCTCCTTGGTGTCTGATTTGGTTACTGGCTGCACTCACAGAATTATCTTCCTGTTTCTTAGAATCTCATATCATGTTAGCAGAATGAGAGTGAAAGGATTTTTTGCTCCAACTTCAGCATTTTATAGGTGGGGGAAACTAAAGGCCAGAATTTGCTTAGGGAGTTTGTAGTGACTGGGGTGGTGGTCGATTCATGAAGTTTCTATCTCTGCAATATTTAATTGTTTTCTTCATGCCTTTGCAGTTCTTTAACACACAGGCAGTGACTGTTTCTAGCAAATACTCTCTGCTAAAACAACAGAAGGTTTCTGTCTTTTGGCCGATAACCTAAATTACAGAGAGGTTAAGTAATTTATTCCAAGTCACACAACCTAGTAATTAGCGAAGCCTAGATTCGAATCTAGGTAATCTTAATTCAGGGGCTGTGCTCTTAACTGCAATATTATTACTTTCAGGAACTTGCTTTACTGGTCATCTGGGCTTGTACAATAAACCCCCAAACCTGGTGTGAGACCCTTCCTTCCAAGTGAAATATGAACACATGGTTATTTCCTGGTGCCCTTGATGTCAGAGTAAACCAGAATTGCTGGGACTGACCATTCAGTGATGATGAATAGGGCAAAAGAATGCAGTTGTCTCAGATGGGGATGAGGCTGAGCATCTCTGGCTTTGTGTAACTGGAGGCTACACAGGACAATGGACATGATGGGATGACTAAGCTCGGGGAGTTTCTTTCTACACCACCCTCAGCATCTCTGCCAGGTTTCTGCCTTTCTTGGTCTCTGCCTCTGCTGATGTTGCCATGCACAGAGCAGGCCTCTCACGGTACTTCACAGAAAATATCCTTACTGAAGAGGTGTAGGTCACAGTATTCCTTTAAAAAATTCCACATGAAGAATATTCCTCACTTTTCATAGTTTGAGTGCCTTTTCTGTGCCAGGCTGTGTTCTAGGTGCTTGAATTGTATCCATGAACAAAACAGACAAAATCACCTTCCTTTGTGGGGTTTACATTCTCCTGGAATGTTAAAATAGAACAGAACAGCGAGGAAGCATACTACATAATCCTAGTAATAAGCCTAGCAAGAAGATGAATAGACCAATGGAACAGAACTGATGTTAAGAATAGCATTTTAAACGGTTCTCATGGGATGAATAAGCTTTAACATACTGAAATGAGGGGAGTTTTCCCTTATCCCCTTCCCAGGATGTGTGATGGGGGTGTGGCTCACTTCTTTGGTGCCCCACAGCTCATACCCGTAAGGAAGCATGCAGACGGGCAAGTTGTGGGGAGTGTGGGCTCCGACTCCATGGCAGCATTCAGGGTTGAGTGTTCACAGCTCCTGAAGCCCAAGTGGGCGTGTGTTACCATGTGCCCTTTCAGCTTAGCTGTTCACAGGTAGCTTGTTTTAATCAGTTCAATTAGACCCTCTGCCTTATCGCAAGGACAGAGATCTTTCTGTATCCCAGGGTCCTTGCCCCGGCGTGCAAGAAAAATCAGATCACATGTGGGCTTGGAGAATGAGTGCAAGGTTTTACTGAGTGGTGACAGTAGCTATCAACAGGTGGATGGGGAGCCAGAAGTGGGATGGACTGGGAAGGTGGTCTTCCCCTGTTGTCTGACCACTCAGCAGCCTAGCTCTCCTCCAACCATTCTTGGCCAAATTTCCTTTGGCATTAGCTTTGTTCCGCCATCAATGGTCTGCCAGCATCTGTTGGTGTGTTCTTCTGTTGGTGTGTTCTTCTGCCAGTGTGTTTCTCTCGACGTCTAGCCACTTGTGTGTGTATGCCCGCTAGGGTCTCAGGGTTTTTATAGGCACAAGAGGAGGGGGTGCATGGCTGGCTTGGAAATGCAACATTTGGGCATGAAAACAAGAGTGCCTGTTCTCACCTAGGTTCATGGGCACAGGCCCAAAGGGTGGACCCTTACCAGGGACCTGACCCTTCTCCATCCAGCACTTCCCTACCCTTCTCCCATATCAATACGTTGATGGATTTATTTAAAAATTTGTTCTCTAGCCTAGTGTGAAAATCCTGAAATCCTGAAGCTTTTCCTGAATATCAGTCTGAAGATGCAAATGATAGACAGTTAATGCTTGTAAGACACCTAGCTATGGAGGCATGCTTAACCCAAATCATGAATTTTGCACATTAATCGTCAAAAGCACATCTAAGAATGGTGACAGTAGCAAATGAGAGAAAAAAAGAGAAAAAGAAGAATGAAAAAGGCAAAGACAAAGATACCTATTATGTATTTAAGGGCTCAGAAAACAATAACCCAAAATGAATGCCTCAGAAGCAGAAGTTTTTCTCTGACCTTCTTGGGCCCTCATGTCTCTCAGTCTTATTTTTCTCAGGCTAGCTGTAGAAACAAGAATCCTCCCCAAGGTGGGTCATAGAAGCCAGAACCCCTCTCCCCAAAGCCAGCCATAAAACCTGAAATATTAGCCTAACTCTCCTTCGACTCTATCTGTGTAAAAACTGGCCATAAAGAAATCATCTGGACTACTTTATTTAACTGTAGGTCATCAGATGCTCATTCCAGAGATCATCCTGTCCCATGCCCAAAAGGAAGGGATGCAGCACAGAGAGTCCAAAATAATAATAATAAAATAAGAAAAAAATAAAAAAAAAACAACTAGGAAGACAGGCCTTGCTAGGTTTCCCACTCAGTCTGTTAGCATTAGACTATATCTAGTCACATTTCTACAGGGTGCCCTTACTTTGTTGAACCTAAGCCTATAAAATGGACAATTTCCCCTGTATTTTTGGGGTCTTCATTCTGAAGGCCTTCATGTCTATATGTTGAATAATTTTTATGCCTTTTCTCTAGTTAATCTGCCTTTTGCAAGTTGACTTTTCAGGGAACCTTCAGAGGGCCAAGGGCAAAGCTCCCCCTTAACCCCTACAGTATTCTTGCCATTTTCAAAGGAAGTCATCCTCCTTCACAAGGAGCAAGCCATTGCCAAGCTTGAAATTTCAGGAAGGATAAATCGTGATCACACAAACATTTTGACAATGAATGATGCTCAAAGAACAGTTGAAGAGTAGGTGAATATTCTGTTTTA